GTGAGAACAAACGGTGGCCGGGGGAGCCACATGCATGATGCTGCTTCCTCTGGGATCTCCGTCGACGGCATGGACCAGGCACAGCCTGATAAAGTGAACTGGAGTCTCCCAGCTGCAGACCGGCCAGGCTGAGAGTCTGCACAGAACAAACTCGCGAGGGTTTTCCTGTTTCCCTCTAGGTGATGGTGTGATGAAAGTGCTTCAGAAAGATGGGTGTAGCAGCACTAACAAAGGGAGCAGGGCCGCGGGGTGGGAAGGGGCTGGGAGCGGATGCACCCAGCTCGCCAGGAGCTCACCTTCCGTTCCAGCGCCCCAGGATTTTAAATCTGTGCACATCCTGGCGTTTGTGTGAACTTCCGAAGGCAGCGGCTCTGGCGGAACGGGTATAACTTAAGTTTCTCAGGAAGAGTCCCCACGGCCACCTGGCACAGCCGTGCTGCCGTTAGTGGCCGTGCAGTTGGCTCCAGCTCGCGGCGACCTCGTGCACAACAAACCAAAGGCGGCTGGGCGCTGCGCCATCTTCCTGTCATTGGGGTGTTGAGTCCATGCTGTGGTCACGGGGGCTGGCCTTCCCACTGTCTCCCTCCTCTTCACTGACCCGCCCTCTTTACCAAATGTGACGTCCTGCTCCAGCCAAGGGTCATTCCTGACGATGTGCCCAAAGGCACAAGCTGAAGCCTCACTGTCTTCATCTCCAAGAAACACCTATTTCTTCTAAGACAGAGTTCAGTACAAGACTATCTGGTGTCTATTTGTAAAGCGGTCTGCCAGTTTGCCTATTGTGGTGGCTTTCGTGTTACTGTGATGCCATCAGCAGGGTCACCCCGGAGCACAGGTTCCAGCAGACCCTCCAGACTGAGACTAGGAAGAACGGGCTGGCGACCTGGTCCAAAAGTGAGCGGGTAGAAACCTCACATATAACAAGGGAGCACTGGGATGGCCTCAGCTGAGGGAACTTCAGCAGAGCCCCCAACTCCCCGGGTGGCAGGCAACACCCCTGCGCTCCTCGTGTACGTGAGAAGTGTCTGGACTCAACCGTAACTGGGGAAGGGAAGATGGATGAGGACCTCTGGGCTGCTTTGTAAACACAGGCACCAGAGCGGCATTTTACCTCACACTTGTCAGCCCTGCCAATAAACCATCTCGCTGGAGCGCCAATCTTGGGTGAAAATGAAAAGCCGGCATCGATCTCACTGTGCTGCTGATTTTATTTACAAATAGAACCAGATAATCCTGCACTTCAATGGCAGCCATTCCATCATTCATGATCAAACAGGTGACATTGGAAATTTATAAAGTTTCACATTATGATTCAATCTCTCTTCTGTGGAAAAACCTTCCAAGGAGAGAGCGGCTCAAGACACGAAAAGCTGACGAGACAAGGGGAAGAATGAGCGGCATGGGGGCCCGAACCGACCTCGAACAGCACAGTTTGCATCAAAAGAAGGAGTTACAAGGCGGCCTGGGTCCCCTCACAGAGGTGAGGTCACCCCGCTGAAAGCACATGAATGGCTTCCACCTTCTCTCTGTTGGGTCCCAAGTTCTGAGAATAACATGACCACCCAGCTTCCTACGATAGAATCAGTTAGCTAATGCATTCCAATAAATCTCCTGGTCTGAGTCCTCAGTCTCCAGCGGAGACCAATTTAGGCCATTTCAAACCAAGTAGCTTGGTGGGGACCTCTTTACTAGGTGGCATCGGAGAGGCCATTAGGACAACGGCTCGGCAGAGTCAAATCCCAACAGGAAATGAACGTGGCAAGTGTGAATCAAGCGCACTGTGTCATCTTTCCAATGGGAGGGTCCTCGGGGTCCTGGCTCAGCTCACAGACACCTGTACCCCCCTCCATGTAGGCGGCAGCACCTCACACTGGTCCACCTACACGAGGAACCAGACAGTCCCTGGACATCTGGCCACCAGAAAACATCTACCAACCAAAGCTGTTTGGCTTCAAAACATGATGCTGAGTTAAGTCAGTCAGACACAGGACAAATACCGTACAAACCACGACACACCGAGACACAATCAGCAAACACAGCAAGAGCAGAGCTCATCAGTGGCCTCCGGGCAGGAGGGCAGCCACTCTGGGAACGCGGAGCTTCCGTTTATGGTCAAGGCGACTGGGCAACAGATACTGGTGATGGCTGCTCAACTCGATCACGTAACTGATACCACCCACTGATCACGGGGAAACCGCTGTCCTGGCAAATGCTGTGTTACAGACGTTTGTACAACAGCAAACAGCAGCAAATCCTGCCTGGGTCCCCACCTCTGTGTGATCTAAGTCCTGGGAACTCTCACGGTGCAAGCGTTGTGTTGCCTCAGCAGGGCCAAAACGTCACCCTCTGCTGGACGGGAGCTCCTCAGACAGCCCTATGCCTGGCTCACCTTGGTGTCCCCCGTGGGCAGCGCGGTGCTGGCACAGTACAAGTGTCCGGGACAGGTGTGTGAGGGCAAATGAACCTGGCAAGGCTCGGCTCACTGCAGGTGTCAACCCACCTAGGCCACATCTCTCAGCCCCCGAGGCTCAAGTCCTGACAGGGCCTGCCATGAGTGTCCATCCACATGGACCATGTCTCTGAGTGTTGAGTCCTGACCAGGCCCAGCCCACGGGAGATGTCCATCCACATGGACCAGGTCTCTGAGTCTCGACTTCTGCCAGGACCTGCACGTAGGCCATGTCTCTGAGTGTCGAGTCCTGACCAGGCCCAACCCATGGGGGGTGTCCATTCACATGGAGCCGGTCTCTGAGTCTTGAGTCCTGACCAGGCCCAGCCCACCATGGGCCTCTATGCACTTGGGTCCCATCTCCCAGGCCCTGAGGCTCGAGTTCCCGTTCCCACTCCTCTGTCCACAAGACTCCCCAGGCACTCTGCAGGATTCTCCCCAACACCACCTCCATGCAACCGTCCCTGTCACTGTGACACGTGTGATAAGCTCAGCCATGGCCTGATCCTGAGCCCAGCAGGAACACCCCTGCTCACTCCTGTTTCCCTCAGCACTAGGCTCAGCTGTAACTCACCAACCTCTGACACTAATGCCCACTGGGGCTGGCAGGGTTGTGGGGACCAGGTCACAGGGCCCAACTTTACAGATGAGGTGCTGGGGCCCCAGTTGACACCCTGTGAAGGGGAGACTCCCCCTCAGATAGCCGGCCGAGTCTGGGTGACAAGGAGAGGACGGGCGCTTGCAGCAGATGGCGGGTCCGGGAGCAGGCGGCCAACTCAGGGGTGCAGGGCCTCAGCCCCAGGGTCTCCCCAAGGCCTGCCCTCTGGCTGCCTCAGCAGGACACCATGGCGTCCCCAGGACAAAGGACTCACAAACAATACCTCTGCCTCCCACAACCACCCTGAGGAGCTCATCTTCACCCAGATACGAGACAGGTTCCCGAGGTTAGCAAGGGGCGGAGCTGAGACGCCAGCACTGGCCTGGGGTCCGAGCCGGCGCTCTCTGGACACGACGCCCCCTCCCTGCACACAGCCGGACCTCACCTGGATGCCATCCAGCAGCCGGCTCATGCACCAGTAGGTGTCGGCCTCGATGTTGCGCAGCACGTCCACGGGCACTCGGGAGACGTCCACAGCGTCCACGTCCTCCTCGTCTGCAAAGCACATGGCGCAGAAAGAGATAGCGGGTAATTAACTATACACGGTCAATCCCATGATGGGGAGCCCCCCACCCTCTTCCTCCACCTGATCCGCTAGTGGGGCCCACTCTGGGCTGCTCATCTCAGCACCTAATTAGATGCAGATAATTAATATTCTGAATCCTCCCTGATTCATTATCGTAATTAACAGATACTAAATTATTGCTTCTTGGGCGCTTCACATCTGAATAACAGAAAACCTCTATCACCCTCTCTGGCAGAGCCTCAAAGTTTTTTCAAGACTGTAAGGTTCTACCCCTCACGTGTTCACCTACTCACCTACCTACCAGTGCTCCTAGTGGCCAGCTTAGAGCACAGCCCCGTTCCCACGGCTCCCTCAGGAGTCGGCGCCCCACATGAGTCGAGCCCCTCCTGTTCGTTACTGCACTGAATCACCAGTGTCCTCAGGAAGCACAGCACTGAATAGCTGTGTGGCCTCATCAGCAAATCACACGCTGCAATGCTGTGTCTGTGTGGCGCGTGGCGCTGACAGTAAGACGCACACGTACTCTAAAGAAAAGATGGCGCACACATGTGGTTCGTCATAACAAACGCATCGAGGGACGGGGACAACCTGTCATTTCTCTGAAGACTTGTTTCCGAGGTTAGCATTCCCAAGCCCACAGTGGGTGAGTGCCTCTGCTCCGAGGAAACACCCAGGAGAGCGGGGTACAGACACACTGGGGAGAAACAACAGGCAGGGAGGCCCTCCGTCCCCCTTCCTGAAGCATAGACAATCTAACAACGTAATTTAAAAGCTTTTTAAACACAAAGCACAGGCCTCACTGCAATATCGCCTCAGGTATCTGAACAAACTGATTTTAGATATTTGTGAAATGTGTTATCATTCAACAGAATAACCACAAATGTTTGAAAAAGTGATCAGGTTTTTTAATTTTATTGATTTCTGTTTTATTTTGCCAATGTGCTCTGGTATCCTTTGCAGGGAAAATGTACTTTGAGAAAAGAAAGGCCCCAGGCTGGAGTAGCTGGGGCTTCCACAGCAGTCAACCGACCCTGAGGACAGCAGCCCTGAGGACGGTGGACGGTGACTGCATGCTTCTGCCACACCAGCGCTCTCCTCCACGTTCAGCTGCATGGATGCCACCCGTTACAGCAGCACCACTGGGCCCGCCCAGTCACAGCACAGTGAGGGCTGGGCCAGGACGCGGTCCCACAGTCTGGTCCCAGAGCCCACACTCATACCACTCCCCACACAGTGCCATTGCTTCACAGGCTACACCAGACGGTCTGACTTCCCTCATTTCCTCAGGAGCAGTCCACAAGGGCACGACTGTGCACCGTGCAGTGCTGTGAGGCCGGTGGACAACCCCCCACCTTCTTGTCCACAACAAAAACCAGACAGGAACACGGGGGGCAAGCATCTCCATGTTGATGCCCCAATAGAAGCAGAAGCTGTGTGACTGGGACCATGAGTACTGTCCCTATGAGCCCAGCAGGAAGCCGGTGGCCCTGACGCAGAGGCCCTGACAGCACAGCACCGTGTCACTGAATTCATACTGTGGTCCTCCACGGTACAGTGGGTCCCTCCCATGCTCAGCCACAGGCAACCGTCCTCTTGCTCCTGAAGGGAGCTGGGGGCCCAAGACCACCAAGAAGTGGTCCTCTACCGCACAACGGGGCCCTCCCACACCTCAGCCGCAGGGAACTGTCTGCTCACTCCCAGGAGGGGCTGAACAAGTGGACAGATGAAGGCCTGAGAGGCAACAGGCACCATGGAAGGCCGCAGACTGGCTGCAGACGGGACTGAGCTCGGCTCTTCACCCCGTACAACGTGGGCGGTGAGGCCGCTCTGGGCTGCAACACCCCATCTGAGAAGGGCACAGCCTGTGCCCGCCGGCCAGGTCCCGGAAGATGGGGTAGAGAACAGGTCCAGGACAGAAAGTGCTGATGGAGAGTCTATCACAAGCCCTGGGACGGTGACAGGCAACGAGGGTGCACGCTCACATGGCCTGTGCATGGCCCCCCTGTGGGCAGCATGCACACCCTACGGGACCATGTGAGGGCAGCCAGGGGCCAGCAGGGACAGCCACCACCACAGCAGGCCTTTGCAGGCCCAGACACTATGGGCAGCCCAGCATGGACACACCCTCCCCTCCAAGACCAGCCGCGGCCATGCACAGCAGGCCTGTGTGACCTGGACACTGTGGCCAACCCAGCATGGACACACCCTCTCCCTCAAGAGCAGCCACCACCGGGGCAGCAGGCTTGTGCAGGCCACACCTTCTCCTCTGAGAGCAGCGCAGCCATGAGCCACAGGTCTGTGAGACCAGGGCACCGTGGTGTGCGGACCAGGCTTGCATGGCCAGCCCCATCCTCCCAGGAGCTGACAGGCAGTGGAATGCCACCCACTCAGCAGATCAGGCTCACGTGTCACACCTAATGACCAAGAGGTCACAGCGCTGACACCCATAGGAAGAACACGGGTCATCTGAGAACACAAATGAGAAAGGAAACCACAGAAGTTGAGGGTTGTGGGCCACGCCAGGTTCAAAGGAAAAACTACAACTTCACTTTGTAAACTCACGGCCGGAGCCAGGGCAGGAGG